TCGTGCTGCTCTGATTAGCACCTCTTATACCAATCTGATTTTAGTTCTGATAATTTAAATAAGCATGAGGCCATTAACTTGAACCTGTGTATATATATATTTCAAACTGAGGATCCTCCTGTCTCAGCCTTCTTTGAGGCTGGGATTACAGGCATGCACCACTACTCCCGGCTCCATATTTTGAGTTCTTACATAATTAACTTCAACAATAAATAAAGAAACTAAAACCTAACTTAGAAGTATAACAAATAGCAGGACTTCAGATGATCACAAGCACTCAACTCATCCCCCCATGCACAGATAAGGCACATACATTATTGTAGCCAATCAGATGATTTCTTCGTTTCTATGTTTGGCCTATTAAAGGTCTCTGCTCATGTTGCTGTGGGGCTCTCTAAATCTGTTCTGATTCTGAGTGTTGCCTGATTCATGAAATATTCTTTGCTAAAATAAACAGTCAATTTTAATGTGTCTAAAGTTTGTCTTTTAATAGTTATAGAGTTACATTACATTAGAAAAATAGGTCTCTTAGCAGTTATATATTACAAAGTAAATAATTCATCATTTGTCTGTGAGCTGATTAAGGGAAGAGATGATGTGTTTTTCACCACTGAATCCCAAACATCCAGAGTAATGCCTGGTATGTAAAAGCTCCACGAATATATTATCTTCAATGAGAAGAGACATTTTATATTCACATAATGCTTCAGAATGCATTTCCTATCTCAAATCTGCCAATACATTTTAATTGGCTGTTTTATCTCAGGCCCTATTTTTCAAATGCAAAATAACAATAATTAAGACCATCTTTGTAAAAGAAAAATGAAAATATGCCGTATATTTTAAGAAAACAGCCAAGAACACTATTCTCCTTGACCTAGGAATATCAAAAGTTGAATAATTTGTTCTTTCAAAGTAGAAAAATCAATTGAACATCAACAATTACTTTTTTTAAAAAAAGAAAAAGAGATATATTAGATTAGCAGTAGCCCACAGTAATGTTATCTATTTTTCAATGAACTTCAAATTTCAGTTTTATTCCCACATCTTCCCATTTCTTCTTTGTGCATGGTCTAAAAAAAATCTATTAACTCTAAACATAAGGGAAAGTCTTAGGCACTGTGCAAAGTAACCTAAAGTGTATCCTAAGGAAAACTTACAACTTCTTTGTTTTCTTTTGGATGAACCTTTTAAAAGTAAATGACATAGGTAATTAATTTGTTCCTGGGTATTGGTTATCAACTCAAAGACCTAAGAATTTGCATGTTCCCATTGAAACTCAGAGAATATGGATAAAATAACTCATTTATTTTGCTGACTTGCCTGTATTTTTCTGAATGATATTTAGGAATTAAACTGTTACAAACGTAAGTCTAGTTTCACATGCTGACTTGCATTGAGCTAGCTCATATACTAATCAGAGGCCAAAACTGTTGTCTCAATATGTGCACATTTCTGAGATACACTCTGGGAAATTTTCCAATGCCCTGAAAAAGTACACATCATCCCATACAGCAGCTTAAAGTTCAGGCATATCTTCAATATTTTTGTTTGATGTTTTAGCTTTGTAAAAAGTTGTCCAGGTATAGTATTTTGCATTTGGCTGGTGGTTGATAAATCTTGGTTGAATGAATTGGTATATTCTTATACTATGTCATTTAGTACATAAGATTCCAAAATATATTTATCTTATTTCTATGATTGGAAACAAGACATCGACTCGTAGAAAATGAGTTGGGTTCCTCAGCATTACTAAAGTTAGATAAGGGCTTGTCTAGTTGAGTTCTTCTCTACCTGAGATTCTGTGAGTTATTAAAAAATACAGTGAGAAAGGCAAGGGATGGTATAGCAAATGGAACCAGAATTCTTGAATGTTCCCCTAAATGGTTGGCTGCATTTCAAGACATTGAAAGAGAATATTTTCTTTCAAGATATTGGAGAAGTTATTTTCCATTGGAGAGAAAATAAATAATCTGTGAGACAAATTGCCCAGTCTTTTTAGTTATCTAACGGATCTATAATGTGGACATTGATCATTAAAATAATTTAAGTTGGAGTGCAACATGAAGTGAGTTCTGGTTATTATCTGTTTCCATGTATAGATCATTTGTTCATGGGGTAGTTTTATGTAGGCTGAGAGCTGGGGAAAGCACAGCTTGAGCTATGACCTGTTCCTGAAACAAGCCTCAGTTTGCTTGCCTGCAGGTATTATTTCCATGTTTACTTATTCACTCAATAATTTAGAGCTCCTGGTGTGCCAAACTTAAGACTGTGTTGAGTGTTAGGGATACAGAATGCCCAAACCAGATAAAATTCCACTCACTGAGCTAGCTAGAATGGCAGGCAGGCATTTAGTTTGAAAAACACATAAATGTACAATTATAAATTGTTTGAATCTTAGAGCTTGAGGGAGAGAGAGAGTTCAGAGAGAAAGGGGTGGGGGGAGGGAGGGAGAGAGAGAGAGAATAACAGAGGACCTGATTTTTCTCTTTTAGGTAGCTAATCTGAGGAAGTACAATTCAAGCTTGGATCTAAGATGACCAGAAGTTAATTAGGCAAAGTCTAAGGAGAGCTTTTCAGTTTGAGGGAGAGGCATGTGTGAAGCACTTGAGAGAGGAAGAGATTTAGCACATTTTGTGAATAAATAGAAGGCCGATGTGAACACTGCGGTCAGCAAAGAGGAGTGAAATGAGATGTTCAAGAGGCAGGCGGGTGCTAGATCATGCAGGGCCTGGGTGCTCTGTTAATAATTTTGCATTTTATCCCAAATGCAAAAGGAGAGAGATTTGATCTGTAATTGTAACAAATCACTTTGGATTCATTCTGAATAAGCCAGCTGTACAAAGGGTAAGACCAATTAGAAGGCTATTGTAGGTGGCAGATGATAGGTGTTTGGTTTAAAGTGGTGGAAGCAAAAGTAGAGGGTAGTGAATAGCTTTGAGATGCATTTTGGAGGTAGAATCAATAGGACTTGAAGGCAAATTGAATGATGGATACAAGGGCAAACAAGGTATGGAGAATGACTCAAGTTTTTGGTTTGAGCAAAGGGTAGATGCATTGTGTCATTTACTGAGTTGGAAAACTCTATAAGAGGAACTAAGAGGGGTGAAATGAAGATTTTTGGTATCAGTGTACTAGTCACATGGGCACTGAAATGGGTTTGTGTGTGACTTTTTATAGATGATAAAATAAATAATATGATAATATAAAAAAATAAAGAACTAACGAAAACAATTAAAATAGAAAATTGAATTCCCAAAGGGTGGGGGGCAGTGGTTCTAGGTTGGGGACTGATATATATCAGAATTGCTAGGATCTTATAATTTAAAAAAGGCATACTAAACATTATACTGCAATTTTTAAATTTGAAAAATAAGAAAGAAAGGAAAAAAAGAAGGAAAAAAAATCAAAATATATCCAGGAGGTAGACCCTATAGCTGCTATTTGTTGAATTTTTAAGGAGGGATGCTTCAAAATCCCCAGTGGGGTGCAAAGAAACCACTATAACTTTCATGTTCATTGAAAATAAAAAAAAACATGGGTTTTAAAAAAAATTCACTGACACTGCACCCGAGAAATAAGACAAAGGTAGAAAAGAGAAATGGATGGAAAATCCTTTCAGTGAGCAAAAATGTCTCTGCCATCATGCCGGTGCCAATGAAGGGCTAAGTTCTGTTGGGGCAGTTGTCACCTGGGTCTGATTCTCAGCACTATCATTTGCTAGTGGAAGATCTTGGAAAATCAGGTAACTTCTCAAGTCTCAATTTTCTTGTGTTTGTGAAATGAAGATAATGATAACATTTACCACGTAAGGTGACTGTGAAGATTGAAAAAAAAAAAAAATTGTAAGAAGTGCTTTAACAAATAGCTGGCGCAGAGGAAGAGCTCAACAAATGTAAGTCAAAAGTCCTGACTGCAGTGTGACACCCTTTCACTTCCCTCTGGTTGTGTTGATTTAATTAATATTCATAAAGTGTTCCGAATTACCAGTAAGCTTTAATTGATTCAAATCAGTGAAAATGCTCCAACTAATTAGTCAAAGTTATGTTTTTAAGTTTATTTCTAGAAATATTAGATATAAAATATTCTATATAATTCCCCTAGGGAGACCAGTAATTGATGACTAAACTAATTTAAAAATACGTATATAAATATGAGGTTCTAAAAAGACTCTCTTGTTATATCCATTCTACAACCTGTATTTTCTCCAGTCCTAGCAATTATTATGAAGATATTATGTCTGAAAACACAACTATATAAGCACCCCATTATGTGTAAGAATATTAAAATTGGGATCTCAATTTAGATAGAATTGGAACTACATTATGGAATATTGGATTCTATTTTGCTTACTGTCCTTTCTGACTTTGGCTACTCTGAAGATAGTTTGTTTTGTTTTTTTTTTTTAATCATACACAGGTTCTAGAATATTAATGTAGAATTTATGCAGTCTTTAGATTTAGAACAAGTTCTTTATACAGTTAGGCAGAATCAATTAATTCTGTACTTTGGGATATGTTGCTTAATATCTCAAGAGTCAGTTAAATGGTACTAATAATTTAATATTTGAATTAGAATGTTAAATGACAATAATAATATCTATGCCCAAGTTACATCTGGGGCATAGTAAACACTTATTAAAAACTATTAAAGAATATAATTTTCTCTTTCATCCTTCTGTATAAGGGAAATGGTGATAAGTAAATCCCAAAATTAATTGTTCTGGAACAATATAATTAATACCTCATTAAAATGTATGGGAATCAAGAACATGTGGAACATCATGTGATCTTATTTGAATGCTCTGTGATCACACCAAGAAAAAAAAAGGCAATGTTCTTAATTTCTCCCACCACACCACAGAGGCAGAACATCTCTCCACCTTGGGGAAGATGTTGCTGTTGTGTTCAAGGAAAGTGAGCAGAGGTGGGGCCTACCCACTCGTCCTTGTGGAAGCACATGCAATTCGAGAAGATGAGGTGAGGAAGCGCATGCAGTACCTGGTCATCTCAGAGTCAGGGAGCAGGCCTAGATGGTAGTGGGGGTAGGGAGCTGAGAGAAGGAAGCTTTTGTCACACTCAACAGGGGAATAGTGCCTGGGAGAAGCAGGCTTATCACACAGTTTGTTCACAGTGCTGTAAACAGGTTCCGGCGGCCTGGTGATACAAGAGGAAGAAAAAGATATGCACGGTCAGCACACACAAGGAATTACCATGCAACCAGTAACATTTCACCAAATGCAAAAGTTAAAATCCAAACCAATGCCATTTATACCTTGTGTCTTACTAATAAAAGCCAAATTTTCCATTGGTTACATTTCATATAATAATAAAGATTTTATTCTTAGCCTCCCTTATGGGTAGTTGTAGCCACATTAAAATGTTCAGTCCAATGTTTTGTGGGATTCCTTGAATAGCTGCTTATGGAAAGTGATTTAGCTAGGACCTCTGCAACTTTGTTCTCTCCCACTTTCTCCTTCTGTTGACCTGAACCCCAGACATGATGGCAGGTGCTTCATGATCATTTGGGTCCATGAAGCAATCATTAGGATTAAGGAGCACAATACAGATAGGGGAGCATAAAGGAAGAGCCTGCGTCACTGATATGGAGTGATACTATACTACCTACATATTAATTTCTTTTATGTGGGGTAAAAATAAACCATATAGTTTAAGCTTGTGTCTTTTTTTTTTGTTATATAGATAGAACCTAACATTAACATATGTACTCTAAAAACTCTTTAGATTGAAAATTTAAAACAATGAAATAACTGTAGATAGAGCCTATCACAGTGCTAATGCATTTAATTACATTTGCAGTCCATGAACACACTATACACAGAAAATGTAAAGAATGCGATTTTCTTACTGTGGAATTTAGAGCTTAAAACTGTTCAAAGAATTCACTGCATCCTTATTTTAAAATACTCTTATCCATAAAATAATAGCTGACCTACACTGCTAGCACAGGAGCCTAGAAGAAAGAAATCAATAACTTCTTTTATGTCATAAAACATTTCTATGATGATGTCATTTTAGTAACACCATACTTTGCCTAGAGGGGATGATTCAATTTTCTCAGTCTGATGCTGACTCTATAGACTAAGAAAATGTTATCAATTTTCTTCAACTCCTTTTACCACAATGCCATGTTTAGAAAGGAAATTTCAGAATCAAAACTGACTGATGCATATCTTTAAAAAAAATTCCTGTATTTATCTAAATTAAGGGAAAAAATTTATTCTTGGAACATAATAATAGATTCAAGACAATTAAAATGAAGTTCTGTGCTTTTTCCAGTATTAAACTCTTGAAACTTTTACCCATACCTTTTTTGCAAGTGTGAATGGGTGTACTACTTATTATGTAAGCCATGCATTTGGTATTTGAGGCAGGCTTCAACACCTTGGGATTTGGAAAAAGGTATTTCTTTTCTTATAGCTGCTTCTAGAATTCTTTCATAATGGACTGATCACTTTTCTATGCATAATTAGTCATCACTTAAAATCTTATCAATGTAGAGATATAGTAACTGATGTTGCAGGTTCATTTTTACCTGTTATTTTGTCTTCAGTTCCTTCCCTACTAATTTACTTGCTATTTTGTAGAGTCACTGGCTACGAATTAGACATATCAGACCCAATTTCTTTTCTTGGTCATGAGAACACATGATATGATGGGAGCTAGGCCAATGAAAAACTACCAAAACACAAAACAAAACACATGCCACACTCAACCAGGTCCTCTTCTAACCAAACCATGAAATTAAACATATCTGTGAGAATATCCTTTCAAGCATCATAAACAAGGGGTTCTTATTTGAAGACTTCCATCTACCAGCTTCTTTATAAGCCTAGAATTCTGTCATATAAGACACAGTAAGTCCTGTGCAAGTTATAGTATAAACAAAGAAATGACACAGAGTAGGAATTTAATCAATGTTTCTTTGAATGAATGGATAATTTTTTATTATTCTCTAGTGAGAGAAATAAAAAAAATTCTTATGGTTCTTTCAAGGAAGCCATATATTATTCTGAATCTCTTCATTAGGTTTAAATTTCTTGGACCATCATTCATTCTGACAACCTACAGGAATGAAATACAACCCCAGTATTGTCAGTTTGGAGCTGAAAAGCTCTAAATACTTGATGGTCATAGTTGAACCACCCTCAGGGGGATGGGCTTCATGTGTTTTGAGTCTTGTGACAATACCTGGTCTGCCCTTGGTTAAAGTAAGGGTCACCCTAGGCATAGTGAACCTCAAAGATGTCTCAGCCCTGAGTTCCAGAAGGCCTAATACTAGCTAATCAGCATCTTTGTCTTTCCCTGCAATTAATTTTTTCCATGACCTCACTGCAGACAAGAAATGTCAATTGCTATCAATGGGATCTGGGTGGCAGAAACAGATGCTATCATCACTTTCCACTGGGTCAGTACAGAAATGGCACAAGGAGGTGGAGGGGAGAAGATTTTCAGCAGTGTGAGTCAGCCACTCACAATTGAAAGGTCTATTTATTCTATTTTAAGCAACCAGAGGCGAAGGTAATAAACAGGGTAAGCCAATACAAGGTGCCCGAAGGCTCTTTTTATTATGTGGATGTCTCCAGAAAGGAGGAAAAGTAGTGAAGATATTAAGTGAAATCTCTAAGTGAATTCATAAACAAATCATTTATCTAGCTGTCTACTTATCAAGGGCCATAGATAAATGATTTTGTAGTCTCATTTGCTGAGCCATCAGCATTTATTTGCATATCTATGGGTTTATAATTGCAGCTCTTATAGCATACAATTAACACACTCTGACCCTTGGTGATTTCTCTTTTCTGTGAACTCCATTAGCACTTGCTATTTGTTCTGCTTTCTTTGCATTTTTAATTGCTAATCTGCAATGCTGGTGTACTGGAGAGAGGATGCTTCATCTCCACCCTACTGTTTAAAAAAAAAAAAAATCTTACCTGCAAATGCCCTTTCCTGCTGCCCCACTTATCTCCAACCCAACTCAGGCCCCTCATTGGCCAAAGCCATTTAGGTCTTTGGAGCAGGATTGGGCTCCTACTTTGCATTGATCTAATACTGAAGGGCCCACAAGAAAAAGAAAACAAGACTAGGCCAATTGGATTCTTCTTTGGAAAATGAACAATGTGACTAAAGGGACAGAAAAAGTAGTTATGAGTTGGTAACATAAGAAAAAGATGCAGATACATAGAAGGTCACTGCAAATATGTTCACTAGTTACAGAGAACCAGAGCTCTACATTTAAAGCTCTATGGAATTTTGTTTTTAAAATACTCAGTGGTTTCTTGGAATCTAGAATACATCTTGGCTCATTCTTTAAGGGGGGCTATTAGGGTTCATATTATTGAATTTCCCTAATGATTCTGTATAACACTGGTTGTATAATGAAAATTAACTACCATCCTTCCTCCCTAACCCTTAGGTCACAGATATCTTGCTTGTAATTAGGAATGAAAATAAAATAAATACTCCATTTGTTTATTTTACATTCCTTTTAGATCTCCAAAACTAGACTATGGCACTAAAGAAGTTGACAAAACCTTGGACCTATGTAATCCCATGGTACCTGAGAGTAGTACAAGACTGATTTTGATATTTTGCTCATTTTGATTATTTTGCATTAATTTTATTTAAAAAGTTGACTAATTATTGAGGTTTTGGGGTCCCCTTTAAATTTTGCACCTAACTTAAGTGCTTCATATCTGGTCCCAGCCACGTACCAAACACAATAAAGTGTAAGACAGTGATACTGATGACTGTGATTGCAAATACTCTTCATCTGTGTAGCACCTGAAGGTACAAGATCAAAGGAATATGACTCCTTTCTCTTAGAGGCAAGAGTAAGATTGACTCTCACTTTATTGAGTTTTCTAACTTCTCAGAAAAACCCTCAGAGCAGGGAACTGACCTTATCTTACTGTCATATCCTGTTTACTGAGTTTTCTTTCTCCCTTTAGAGTATTAACTCCTAGAGGAGCAGGACCCAATCTCATTTGATCTTGGTTTCCCATTCCTTCCCTGAATGCCAGAATGCAGGAAAACAAAACAGTGTCATATAAAATGAGAAGAACTGAACCAAAAAATTAAATAAATAAAAAGTGACCAGTACTATTTATTGTCTCTTCCTGAGCTAGAACTAAAAGGAAGAGTTGGACATTCGAGTAGAAAAGATTGGGGTTATATATTTGTATGCCTTTAAGCATAAATATCTGTTCATCAGACTGATGTGGGTAAATCTGTAGAGCATTCAGATTCTCTAGATCTCCAATGGGAAGGAACTTACAACACTATGCTGTTGCTAAAAGCTTGGCCCTTGTCTGGATGCCAATCCAATAGCAAGGACATGGTTTTGAGAAAAAGGAAAAAGAAGCTTTAATGCTTTGCTAGCAAAGGAGAAACACAGGGTATTCCTGTCCCAAAGGCTGTGATTCTGCCCATCAGTAGAAACAGGGGGCTTTTATAGAGGTGATTCAAAGGCTACATTCCATCTGTTGGAGTTGTTAATTCATTTGTTAATTTGGGAGAAATCATTTCTGAGATCTTCAGGTACCATCCCCAAAGTCTGGATTACTTCATTTCTATGGTGAGTGTGTACTCAAGGACAGACAAATCTGCCTAGGATGGGGATGAAAGGTAATCCTGTTTTCCCTGAGATTGAGGGTGGTGGTGGGAGATTAGGGAGGAGCAGAGAGAAAGAAGAGAAAGAAATATGTCCACTTAAAAAATAAGTTGCAGTAGCAGAGCAGCAAAAGCTATGTTCAAAGTAAGAAGTGGACCACTATTACAAGGCCTTGATTAGAAGAACACAGCCAAACCTCATCAGTGATGGCAGGTGGGATGCCAAGTGCTCAGATACCTAAGCAGCTAGCATACTGCCTGACATAATTTGAGGGAAATGTTTTATTTTTTAATTTTCAAAGGATGCCTTAGGCTCCTATTTACAAATAATAAATAATAGACTGCTTCTTAGGCCAATTATTTGTAGGAGTAAATATAAGAGGATTGAATTTCAGGTCAAGGCTAAAAGGTCTTAAGGACTAAATTTTGGAAAGCTCTAAAATTAATTAGTGGGGAGAAGAGAATCAAGGCTCAAGTTGTTAACTATGTGTCTCAACATGTGAACTGACATGTTAATGATAATG